TATTCCGCCACAACTTCTTCTCCTGCCAAAACAGGATTTTACCTGGACTGGGGACCTGAATTCTATACTGTCCACTGATTCCCCCCTTCAACAAGGCAAGGGTTTCCTTACCCAAAATCCATGTGAATTGATGCACATTGGTACACAGGAATTACTGTATCAACTTTTGATTTACCATTCCGTAGTATTATTGGGGTATGAAGTTTGGTCTCACTCCTTCAGAAAATCTGTTATGATCTAAAAACCCATCCTCTCATTCTTAAAACCCGAGGTACTACTTTAGGGTGTCGAGAAAAAATCCCGCGGCCCGAAAATCCCGTGAGGCTAAAAATCTGGTATGCCAAAAAATCTTGTGGGGTCCAAAAATTCTGTTGGTATGACAATCTTGTATAGACTACACATGCAAAGAAGTAACAAAAAGACTTGGTCTAAAGTACTGTATGTTCCTTTTAAAGAAATTTATTCAATTTTCATTTTAAACATATTTTTCAAATTATTCTTCTTTTGCCTTAGACCAGAGATGGAAGGGGTGGAATCTAATTTCATCAAAATAAACCACAATTCAGCTATGTTTTCATCCTCTGTAGGGCTGATTTTTGGGTGTAGGACAATTCCCTGGATCTAATTCCCCCGCCTCTATTCCCCCGCTCTAAAATCCCCGATCCTAAATCCCCGATTTTTAAAATCCCTGCCGTTTATTCCCACCGGTGTCTAATTGCCCCAAAATAAAAATTCCCATTTACTAAAATCCCCGAAAATGCAAAATCCCCAAATATAAAAATATCACAGAAAATTAAAAAATTCGGCCAAAATCGGATTATTTTCGTATGCTGTGGTGTTTTAAGTTTTCTGAAGGTCAGAAAAGACCTTCCAGGTGGGCTGAGGCAAAGTTGGGATTGATCCAAGGAAAAGCCCATTGCTTAGCATAGGATTTCTTTCATTTTCCCACAAAATTTTTCTGTGCAAAAACAAAAAAAAATTTGATTTTTCCCCAACTTCATCCTCAAATCCCTTTTTCTACCCTGAGGTGAGCAGAAGAAGAGGGATGCCAACCTGAAGAATCTGTGTCAATTGTTCAACAGGCATGAAATTAGTCTGGAAAAAATTTTGAAGGAAACAGCTAAAGCAGTGAAACTGAGATACAATTAATAATTTTTTTATTGCTGATGTGGCTTTTTTTACATTTTTTGTTTTTTCAATTTTTACTTTTTTGTTTCTTTTTTCAATTTTTACTTTTTTTCAAATTTTACGTTTTTTTCATTTTTACGTTATTTTAATTGTTATTCAAATATACTCATTAAATTCAATTTTTGTCACTCAGAAATAAGAAAAACAATTGTCCAACCATCAGTTTTTTATTTTCGGAGGAAATTGTACATTGGGGATTTTAAAAATCAGGCATTTTAATTTCGGGGATTTTTGTGACCGGGGATTTTAAAATCGGGGATTATTATTTGGGGGAAATAGAGGCAGGGGAATTAGAATCGGGGGAATTGTCCTACACCCCTACAGCAGCAGCAATGTGTTCATATTTCTTTTGTGCATCACATATTTAAAACCTCCGTTTTTTGTAACATTCTCTTTGTTTTCGAAGGGAAAGCAATTTAAAAAATTTGTATGGTGTCAAAATTCATGGAAAGCTGCCACCTGTTCCAAGAAATCACAATAGACATACAGGTGGTCAGCATGGATTTTGATTTTATTTTCTTTGATTTTTTGAGCAGGAAAAAAATTTTAAAATTGGAGAAATTCAAAAATTTCACTGAGGATAAGTATTCAAACTATTGACCATCCAGGCTCCATGCTGAAATCCTGTAGGGAAAAATCCTGCAGCCCAGAAATCCTGTGAAGCTGAAAATCTGGTAGGGCTAAAAATCTTGAAGGGTCTAAAAAGCCCTTAAGCACAAAAATCCTTTGTACTGTGCTAAAAAAACATTTTCCCTGGATTCTCGACGGTAAGCCCGAAAAGACGTTGCGTTAGAGCAGCGTCAGGATAAGGTACAGAAGAGGACGGTTGTGGCTGAGAGGACAGGGACGAGGTTTGATGGGAAGTATCCATCTGGTCTTGGTGAACCGAAGATGGAGCAGAAGCAGACGACGAAAAGGGAAGACGAGAGACGGGAAGAAGAGGTGGCGGCAAAGACGGAGATGAGGGCAACACAGGAAGAGTGATTCCAAAAAGGGTACGAGATGAAGGCCGCACAGAAAGCCAACGGGATTGAAGATCAGCTGGGGTGAGAAAAATTAAAGTGTTAAGTTCCGTTTTGAGAGATTCAAAGTCTTGAGTAAAAGGAGGGGGAAGTTGAGAAATATCGAAAACGGCAAAGAGGGTAGCTAGATCAGTAAAATCAGAGAGAATACCTTCGAAAGCGGACACTTGCCCAGAAGGATCTGGGGAAACATATGCGCGATCAGTGGAAAGAATTAAACGCGCGAGACGGATGATGGAGGAAACAAGAGAAAAGGTTGAGGGGGACGGAGACGAAACAGAAACGGGAAGATCCGGTAAGGGCGCGACGGAAGGGGCAGTGGAAGGGTCCGAATCAGAATTAGAAGGAGGAGACTCACGTATATCCAACTCACACAGAGGAATAGCCTCCCCAGCGGACGATGTAGTAGCCATGGGCAACAAGAGGAGAAAAAAAAGGAAGTTTAAAAAACTAAGATCGCGAAGTTTACGCTCTGCTACCAATTTTTGTGCCCGAATTAGCACAAAAGCTGGTAAAGATTTCGAATTAGATAAATGAAACACTTCAATCAGGTGTGGGGTGCACCTGGGGATCTTGCTTTTCAAGATCCCAAAAGTAAAGATGTAAATATATTTCAATTAACCCCAAGATGTTAATCACAGGAAAATCATAGAATTAAACGCGCGAGACGGATTATAGACAAAACGAGAGAAAAGGTACAGGAGGACGGAGACGAAACAGAAACGGGAAGATCCGGTAAGGGCGCGATGGAAGGGGCAGTGGAAGGGTCTGAATCAGGATTAGAAGGAGGAGACTCACGTAAATCCAACTCACACAGAGGAAGAGCCTCCCCAGCGGACGATGTAGTAGCCATGGGCAACACAGGAGGAGAGAAAAAAAAGGAAGTTGTTTAAAAAACTAAGATCGCGAAGTTTACGCTCTGCTACCAATTTTTGTGCCCGAATTAGCACAAAAGCTGGTAAAGATTTTCGAATGATAAAATAAAACACTTCAATCAGGTGTGGGGTGCACCTGGGGATCTTGTTGTTCAAGATCCCAAAAGTAAAGATGTAAATATATTTCAATTAACCCCAAGATGTTAATCACAGGAAAATCACACACAATCACAACCGACTTCAACGAGATCTGAGAGAGTACTGATCTTGATTGATGTAAAATGGCGGCGTCAATTCTCCAGTAGAATGTTCTGGAATGTTCCTGTGGATTCCTGAAACTAATCGACATTTATTATTGCAGGTGTTTGCGGTACCCTCAATGAGATCTGAGAGAGTACTGATCTTGATTGATGTAAAATGGCGGCGTCAATTCTCCAGTAGAATGTTCTGGAATATTCCTGTGGATTCCTGAAACTAATCGACATTTATTATTGCAGGTTTTTACGGTACCCGCAACCGGAGGACGGTACGATAATGTACCAAATTATTCCGCCACAACACGTTCAGCATCAGTTTAGTTCAAGACCGGATCTTCAACCGCAGAGAACCTGTCCGCAGAAAACCGCTTCAAATAAAAGCCTTCATCTCGAACCCAACTGATAAAGTTTTACGAGACTCTTCCTCTCAATGCAGAAATCACCGAGGATTAAAAAACTCGAAAGTAGAAAAAGCCGTAATTCCGTGATAAAACGAGCAGCTATAAATAGATTCCCCTTTAGCGACATGCTGTAGTTCAATAAGGACAATCTTCGCAACTGGTGGTCCTTACTCATAAGGTTTCTTATCGTCCCACATACTGACATACATCACCCAAAAGGCCAAGACTGAAAAAGAATGACGCACACAATAACTGATGAATCCCGAGTAAAAACACTCGTTTACCCTCGGATGATTTGCGTCTCAATTCATGTAAATTCTCTTATATACCTCTTCAGGGAACTATAGCTCCAACTTTTCTCATCTTAACATGACCGCGATCAAAAATTAACAGAAAGCTTGGAGAATAACATCAAGGATTACAGAAAGAGCAACAAATCGCATTAGTTTAAAGCTACGAGGCATTCATGTGGAAAAAAATTCGAGCCATACAGTGTTCCAAGACCATCGTTATCATATGCCTACGTATATCCTTCGACATATTCTATACTCCGGGATATCGCTCGGGCCAAATTGAAAAAAAAAAAAAACAGAAATCAAACTCAGCGATCACGAAATGACCGATTGAAATCGAATCCTCGGGAAGAACTTCAGGTTACTCCACCATTACACGTCTCGTCACAGGTGCGATCCCAATTTTACTTGGAGAAAATCCTGCGCAGCGAGCGAATCGATGACGTGACGACAATTCACAGCGTGTGATTTCTTTGCTTCACAAACTTGTACGTAGATGTCGTCTCTTAATCATGTTCACTGTACAGTAGTCTAAATTTTAGGATCCTTATCGACTATTTACCCAGCACAAAAGGCACCTCGATTCTCCTTGAAGGCATGTTCACTTTGTTTCAAGAATCGCTTCAGGCAAACAAGCTGAAGCTCAACAGTTTCTAACTCAGTGTTTTGTCTGCCTTGGCATGGTTCATGATGTGTGGAACGAAGTTATGCCAGGCATTAGCGTTCTTCGCAATGCCGTACCAGACAAGTGCACACCTGAGTACCAGCAGTACTTACATGGAAAAGAAGGAACAATTCTCTCTCTCTTTATCCTCATCTCTCTCTCTATATCTATCACCCTCTCTCTCTATTTCTTCCATCCACACATAACTTTCCATGCATGATCCGTACCATTTCTCCCTATATACAGTACACTCCTTTATTCTCTCTCATCTCCTTCAGCCCTTCAGCATCAGATGCAAGCATGCATGCAGTTGGTCCTTTGGGTCAGCATCAGCAGTGTTATCAGCTATGTGCGCAGCCAACAGATATATGCGAGAACCCCGGCGGCCGGGCCGGGCTGGGCAAGACCCGTCCGTTCGTCGTACCCATCCGTGATGGAGCACCCCGGGCACCGTTCTTATTATTATTCACGACGGAACCGGAACTAGGCCAGTCGGTGCGCAGTTCCGCGTGTCCGAGTGCCGGCGAAAGGGAGCCGAGAAGAGAGCTCATAAAAATACTGTATACTGCGTGAGTCTTATATCCTTGCTTGATACTCTTTTCTCGTCTTCCTTGATGTGCTTACACTATATACTATAGTCTTGGGTGCTGTGTATTAAACATTTGTTTATTTATGAAATAAAAAAGACGCAGCGAGCAGGAGCACGTCTTGGGGGGGGAAAAAAAGAGAGGGCTTGAAAATGTGGGTTGTTATTTGTTGGAAGCGGGTTGCCCACATCAGAAAGGGGATGGCACACAGAAATTAAACCCAATTGCCCATCTGATTGTGGTTGGTTGTTGGGAGAAGGATGAATTGAAAATCTGGTGGTGCGAAGTGGAGGAAGAACCACAGAGCTGAGAGAAAGTATCACAGAGCTGTTGAGGTATGGATTCTAAAGAGCGCCTTATTAGATTTTTTTTTACTTGGGATATTCATCCATGATCTACTGCAGGGTTTTCCAACCCAGTGCAGGTCCCCAAAAGTTTTTTGCAGGACTGCAGGAAATTTTCTTCAGCATAATAAATGTACAAAAGGTAGTAACAAAGTTTGTCATCTTTGTCTGAAATTTTAGAAAGACAATGGCAGCTGAAAAATTAAATTAGGCTTTTCTCCTAATAATGCTTCAGACAAATTTCCCCCTGCTACAATAAATTAATTTGATTTCTCATTGTAAGATATGTTCCTTCAAGCCCACCTTTCCAACTTTTTGAAAAAACTAGAAACTTTTACAAATACCTTCCAGCATAAAGTCTTTCAAATGAAACTCTTTTCTTTCTACATACATTTTATAACACTTTGCCAGTCTGCAGAAAAATTTTGGAAATTTGCTGGTTCTCACAATATTTTATGGAAATTTGCCAGTCTGTGGACCCAAAAAGGCTGGGGAACACTACCAGTGTTTCCAACTTTTTGGGACCACAGACTGGTAAGTTTCCCTGACTTTTTTTTTTTTTGGAAGACCAGCAAATTTCCATAAAATGTTTGCTATCCAGCAGAAATTTTTCAAATTTGTGCCATAAAGTCCTCCATACAACAATGTTACTGCAGAAAAATAATTTAAGAATTGATGGAGGAGCAACATTGTCTGAAAAAATTAGAAAGCTGAGCTTCAAGAGAGGTTTCAAGAATGAATACTCCAAATAATATCACTAGGTGAAAATTTGTCTGAAGTTTTACCAGGAGAAAAGCCAACTTTTAATATTCATCAGATAATACCAATAACCGACATTGTCTTTCCAAAATTTTATATAAAGATAACAGACTTATTCATTACTACCTTCTATGAATTCATTATGCTGAAGAAAATGTTCTGCAGACCTACAAAAAATGTCTATGGACTGGCATTGGTCCTTAAACCACACCGGTTTGCAGACCATGCAATTTTTTTTTTTTCAAATTCCTTAATGCCCTGAATACAGTAATAAGACTTGCCATCTATAGCGCCCAAAAACTCAAACTTTTCAACCATTTCCTCCATCGCCCTCCACCTTTGATTAAAAACATTGTAAGCGAGCAATAAAATAATAATAATCGAGACCGAGTGACCCAAATTCGCCACGTCATGAGGCCATCTGTCGCTGCAACAGTCGTCAAGTCAGTCGCATCCTCGTCATCACGAATAACGAACCATCTGCGTCGATGCACAAGTAAAATGAAAAAAAAAAAAAAGAATTTTTCCGAAAAAAATAAATAATCATTCCTAAATTTCATTTGTCCGCCGAGTTTTTAATTGCTCCCGCCTTTACGTAATGCCGCGCGCTCGGGAGCCAGTACAAATCTCGCAGGGCAAATGATCCTTGAATGATTGTGGTCGTGTGAGTCCCCACATAGACAAAACGTAATCCAATTTTGAGTGTGTTGAGTTATAGGAAATTTTCCTCATAAATAACGCAATATTTCTTTTCATTTAATTGGAAAAATTTTAACTTGTTCCGAGCTCAAAAAATAAAACAAAATTGGGGGTATTTTGTCAAGTTATTAGCATGAAATGGTTGCAATTTTACCAATGAAACTGGTGCACAAATTCAGGGGGAGAAAAATTCCTTGGCTTCATTGAAGTTATATTTTGAAATGTTTACCTCATTTTCTTGGCAAAAATGCCAATTGCTTACAGATATACAGTATATGAATGAAATATGTGTATTTTTGTCTGGAAATGTTTAGCACAAAAAATCCATTGTGCAAGTCAACTTTTTTGGCTTGAAATGCTTTGCAAGAGTCTTTTGTTAAGTGGGATACACTTTTGTTTGACTAAAAGTAGGCCTCATCCTTTACACAATTATTGTAATCATGATATTATGGTCTCAGAAGGTATTTGCAATATGGTAAAAAAAACTTCAACTTACTTGCCAGTTAGGTCAGTCAACATTTTCTGAAATCAAAGAAGACAATAAATGTAAAGTTGACATTTATGAATTTTTTCTTAGTCTTGATGTCAAGAACCTTTGCTTTGTGCTTGCAGATGATCTTGAAAAGAGTGTAATAAAACATAAACATATATTCCGAAATTAGGAAAGATTGAAATCTGAAATACAACTTGATTCCTTGATGACCAACAGTAAAAACTCAGCACCCAAAACCCTTCCAACAAAAAAGGACACATCTGAAACTGTCAACAGTTTTTGAAAGCTCATGCAAGCTTGCATTTGTTTCATCCTGGCCAATGAAATCAGATCAGTCTTTTGAGGAGTTTCCTCTGTGGTAACAAACATGCAAAATAAAGGAGAAAACTTCACTTTGGCCATCATCACACAGGTTGTTGTAGTGATGTATCCTGGGTTTCTTCCTCATTTAGGACAGCAATTTCATAACATGGTGGCTCATCTTCTTTGACACTGGGTGGATGCATGATGACTGCTGTGCTGTAACTTGGTGGCAACTCTGTAGCCTGTCTCTGATTTCCAATCAGAAAAGCAAAGCATTAGATATATATTAACACTATCATGCTTCACACCATCAATAATCCATTGGTTCAATTTTTGACAGAAAAACATTTTATGAATTAGAACAACAATTTTTCAAGTTCTGCACACACACAAAAAAGCAGTGCTTACTGCTAAATCCCTGCTGGATGGACTGGTGATGGTGAAGATGGTCCCAAGGTTGAAAACACTGCTCTGATGAAGCAAATTTCAGAGAGAAATTGAAGAACAACAATATCCCTCAGAACAGGTCTCACACATATATATATATGACCTTTCACACTCACCCCAGGGTTCTGCTGGTGAACACTGGTCAGCAGCTTGTAGCTCATGACAAATGAGGGCAACATGAGCAAAACTGGGGAAATAATCAACACTGGATACTTCCACAAAGCGTGTTCTGGGTCAGACATCTTTTGAAACACCATTTCATCCAGCACCCAAAGAACACACACAGTGAGGCACAGGTTTGCCACTGCAAAGTTCACAAACCTTGTGGCTGAAAGCATCATGTTTTATGAGACACACAAAAAAGCCCCACTTTATATGCCTTTTATTGCGGCTCAAGAGGAGCCAGAGCTGAAACTGATATTGTGACTCAACAAACCCTGATACACATCCACAAGGAAAAACACATGGGCACTGATAACAAATATATATATATATATATAAAGCCCTCCCACTGAAATTTTTCCCCATAAAACTTCCCTATCTGGAAAAATCCCTGACGTCAGGCTGTCATTTACAAGGCAACTGGCAGCTGACAACAATCAAATTGTATCTTAGACACACAAGAAGATTCCCTGCTAATGCTGTTTATATCTTTTATGAGCCCATTTATTGAGTCTGGTTTTTAAGTTGAGAAACTCAAATGATGAAATTTACCCCTCAAAATTCAAAAATCCCACAGGTAATTTGCACATATTAATAGCATGATATTTGTGTCTCTAAATGCGCAAAATCACTGTTGTGCGCATTTTCAAAAGCAGCCTCATATCCAAGTAAAAGGGCAACATAATAAGAGACCAAGATCACTTGTAACTTATTGAGAGTGACATCTATGTTCTCTTACAAAGATTCAAAGCAAAAGGTTAGCAGAAGATAGGCTAGAGAACACCATCAAATTACCTCCTCTTCATGTAAAATAAAGATTTTAAACAGGAAATTGTTGAAAGGAAGCCTTATAGCAGTGATTTTAAAACATAAATCAGAAATAACAGGAGGCTGTCAATTTGGTGATAACCACAGACAAAAAATGTGAATGGTTTATGAAATTGGTAATGCTTCAAAATTATATAAGTTATGTGTGCAGAAAACTATTGGTGTGATATTTATGTGCATGCATTTTATCACCCTCCCCACACACAAAACTTTATGACTATTGTTCCTGATAAATTCCCATGGCCTCTTGTGAATCACAATATGCTCAACATGACCAAGAGATTTTCTACAGAACAGAGTTGTAATTCTCTCTTTCTCAGCATACACACACACACACAAAATAGAAAATTACCACTGGAGAAAACTCAGAGTGGTTCTTTCTGCACCAACTCTTGAGATGGTGGTGCACTTGGTTCTTTTTCCACAGCTTCATCATAAGATGGAGGCAAATCATACAAGTGCTGCAAAGGTTCATGGGAAGTACGTTGTTCTGATGCTAAGATTCTCAAAGGTACTTCACTCTGGGCTTCTCTTTGTGGTACATGTACTTGTCTTCCAGGAACAACATTCCTCTGAAAATAAGACAAAAAGCATGATTAGCTGTACTCATGGAAATAAATAAATATAGCATGCTGAAATGTTTGAGTCAAAGATTTATTTTTGAAGTTTCCAACTCACTCTCTTGTTGGTAAGGGCTGAAATGAGCCAGAATCCTTTGAAGTACTTGAGTGCCACAAGAACAAGTATTGGGAAAAGTAGCAAGAGCAAAGGAACTAAAACAGCAGCCACATACAGTGTGGCAGGCACTTGCATATTCCCATCATCATCATCATCATCCTCATCATCCTCATACTCTTTGATTTTACTAACAAGAAGCCATGTTAAGACTGCAATCAACACAAAATCCAGCACCAAAAGTGGCAAAAACCACACTATGTGTTGCCTCAAAAATGATGGCATCCTGTGGAGCAGCACAAGAATAATAAAAATGTTACAAATGCATAATATTGAAAGTAGAATTTTGGCACATGACTGCTGATTGAATAAACTGCACATCAGCAAAACTCTGCTCCTTCAAAAGCAGCAACTTCTGTGCAACCATTCAAGCTGTTGGACTGTGTGAAAAACTGGAGACAGAACTCAGATAAGGCTTTATTGTCACAAGCCTCTTATCAGCTTGAGGATAAAGCAGTTTGTCTGCTTCTACCAAATATTTTTTTATACTTTTTATGCTGCCTGAAATGTCACTTCCTCATAAAATGTGATGATAAACTCGCCCACACAACTTACTTCCTGTTAGATACAATTTTTGATAATACAAAAAATGTAGTTTGAAGCCTTTTAGAGTGTCACCATTGTGAAACAAAGCCTTTTTTATGCCGCTGTCTCTTACTCTGGCCATAGGTGTCACTCCTCAGAAATCAGGATCCTTAGACTCTGACTGTCAGTCATCAAACTCATCATGGGCTTCATACATTCTCATGCCTTAATAGAGATTAAAAATTGGCAGGATGAATAAACTTGTTTGACCATTTGCTGTTTTATGCATGATAAATGCATGTTTTATTCATTCTCAGGCAGTTAAAATGCCACAAATACAAAATAAATTATCAGTGCTGATAATTGTACTTGAGATATGACAACATCCTCAAAAGAGAATTTTCTGATTTCTCAGATTATGGGTGCGAATCTAAAATAATTTGTATAAATCTCAAATTTTGAGCTAGTAGATGCTGTCCAAGTTAGCAATTTAATTACACCCTTAGTGAATAAACAAATACTCAATTAGGCATCAGTCCTTGTTCTGCATTAAATCATGGGTAAAGATTTCAATTTGAAGGTTTAGTACTTGAATAGACAGAATTTTACCAACACTTTTTTATAAATTATATACCAGAATATTTGATTTATTTGTGAATAGGAAGTTTTGTGCACATCATGCACCCATTGTTTATACATTTCCTTGACAACCTGGTTTCAGTGACCAGGAAGCAATTGATCAGGCCGCAGGTGATTCCTTTCCCAGGGAGAATCCTTGACAACTACTCCATTCAAATGGACCTGGAAGCATTGGAATGCTGACTTTGACCCAAGTCAGGTCACTCATATGAACATAATCATGTTCTGCTTCATTTTCTGGGTCTTGGCAACTGTTGCTGATGCTGGTAGTGTATCAGTACTCTATCACAGCACAGTCAACAGGAACCCAGCAAGACTTGTCATATCAGGCATTGCACCTTTACAGGTGTTTCCTTGGACTAAGATCCCCAGAGCTTGTTTGGAAGCCTGTTTTGAGACTGGTGGATGCAAAAGCTTCAATTTTGATGCAAGTCTTATTTGGTCTAACATTTCAAAATCATATTGCTATTATTCTAGCTTATTTTTCAATGTAGAATGTGAATGGAGTTTGTGAGCTCTTCAACACTTCATTGTGTGACCCAACCAACAGCAACTCTTTGACTTGGGGAGCAGCTGGATGGAGCTACCATGATGTTGCCAACACCTATGGACAAGTAAGATTATCAGTCTTCAAGTTAATGCTTTAAAATGAGTAAATCTTCAAATGTTTACCATCAGCTGACCTCACAGACCATGCTCAACTACTCTGCCTGCACAACCCAAGGATTTTGTGCAAAGACCTGTGGTAATACTGCCTTGGCAGTTTTCATATGAACCCACACTTGCAAAAGTATCTTTCATCTTCAACAGAGAAGGCCTACAGTCAGAACTGCATAGTGGATGACCAGTGCTTGGCAACCATGAATGGTACCATGTGCAGCACCACCTCCAAGACATGCATTTGTCTCCCAAACTGGATGTACTTTGATGCCCACTGTGTTTCACCAGATACACGTGAACAATAAGCATAATTAGTCTTTTCATTTAATGTAAAGTTATTTCTTCTTTGTAGCAAGGATAATGGGACAACCCTGTAACATGAACTCCCAGTGCTTGGCAACCACTGAAGGCAGTGGATGTGACCTCACACTGGCCTCTCCCACTTGTCAATGCTTGACAGGGTATTTGCAACACAATGCCTCTGTCTGTCTTCAATGTAACTTATACAGAGTCCTGGTCTAAAGTGTTTGATTTAATGACAACAATGGAAGTATGTCCTTCCAGATAAATCCTTGGGACAAGATTGTTTGCAGTCTTCACAGTGTTTGGCAATGGCTCCTTGGACAGCCTGTACATCTGGGGTTTGTGCCTGTGCCACAGGATATGTCCCTTACAATGCAACCAGTTGTGTTATCAGTAAGTACTGTATATATGTTTAGAAGACCACAGAAGATAGTTCAAAAGTTGTGTCATTACATTAACTTGAAATTAATTTATTTTGAAAAGCAAGATTTCAAATCATAATCCTCCAAACCATTGTAGAATCAATGAGGTTTCATGCAATTATATGCTACTCTGTTGAATATTTTTACTGAAACTCTAAACTTTTTATTCACCAAACTCTTGCCAATTGACAAGATAAGAACACTTTCTTCATTTGAATATGTATTCATAGAAAGTATTTTAAATTGTTTCAAATGTAACAGTTGGACATTATCATAAAGTAATAGGGGCCATTTTGAAGTGTGCCTATTTTAAAATTATCAAGTTAAATTTCAAACACAATACCTGCATTGTCAATTTCTTATAAAATATCAAAATTGTGTCTATATCCATAAAGCTACAAAGGAAAGTTAAAACTGACAAAACTTGTGACTAAATTTATCTGATCTGCATGATCATTTATAAAGAACTTATGTTATAGTCAAAAAACTCAATGACTCCTGTGCTGACAACCAAGAATGCCTGGCATCTCTGCCAAACTCTCAGTGTGGAGCCACAGGCAAATGTGAATGTGACAGCTTGCATGTTGCCTACAACAGCTCTTATTGCATGTACAGTAAGTAAAATCTCTACCAAAATGTAATTTAGAGAATAAGTTGCATGTATTCTGTTAAATAGGAAAAGTGGTTGGTGACTCCTGCACCAACCTGCAGGAATGTGCCATCAGCATCCTTGACAGTCAGTGCATCAAGGGGTCTTGTGAATGTCCTTTCAGATATGTGCTATGGAATGAAACCTCCTGCTTCATGGGTAATCAAGATGCAAAAATTACTTTGAAAATAGTATGAATCAATAATTTAAATTAACATTTTTTTACTCTGTATAGGCAAGATTCTGGGTGATGCTTGTAGCAACAACAGGGAATGCACCACAACAATATTGGACTCAGTGTGCTCCAGCAAGACATGTGTGTGTCCTGCTCCAATGGTTTCTTACAATACCACAGCTTGCATGACCCGTAAGTAAGATGATTCCAGGTATCCAATTACAAATGTACAGCATTGTTATTAAATGTAACTTTTTGTCTTGCAGCACTTACTCATGGGTCAGCATGTCTAAATAGTCTAGAATGCTCAGTCAGTTTGCCCAACATGATTTGCTCAGGGGCAAGTTGTGCCTGTGACATTGGCTACACTTGGAGTCCAACCACCAATGAATGTATCTTGAGTATGTATCCATCAGAAGCCATAACTTAATCATTGCCATTATTTAGAAAGTACATCATCTAAATTTTCCAGACAGGGTCATCAATGCAACATGTGCCAAAGCATTGGACTGTTCATTGTCAATTTCTGGAGGCACCTGCACAACTGGAAAATGTGTTTGCAGCAATGCATTGGTTGCCTATAATGGTACCACTTGCATGACAGGTTTGAAATCAGCACATGGTTTCAGATTTTTTTCAAATCAAGAGAGTATGAGTTTTTCTTTTCTTTTCAGCACTGGCCTATGGAGACACTTGTGCAAATACCCAGGAATGTGCAGTTAGTGTTGCAAACACAGTTTGTTCAAGCAGCTTGACTTGTGAATGTACCACAGGTTACACATGGAGTCCCACAACCTCTGAGTGTCTACAGGGTTAGTTAAATTCTGTATCCTTTAGCCCTCATTTTATTATAAAAATTAATATTTACATTAAACAGATAAGATACTCAACTCAACATGTAGCAGAGCCATAGAGTGTTCATTGAAAATCCCTGGAGCCACATGCAATGGAAACAAATGTGTTTGTACAACAGGAACTGTTGCTTACAACCAGACCACCTGCATGACAGGTTTGTCACATAATTCAAATGTTATTCATCAATTGATCTACAATCTGTTTTGCATGCTCAATCTTCAGCATTGGCTTATGGTGCAACTTGTGCAAATAATCAGGAATGCTCAGTAAGCATTCCAAACTCAGTCTGCTCATCAAGTCTAACCTGTGAGTGTGCCACTGGTTACACATGGAGTCCAACAACCAATGAATGCCTCCCAAGTCAGTATATTTGCTGTGTAACATTTCAATTTGAATTTGAATTAAACAAATGATTTTATATTTCATAAACAGACAGAATGCTGAACTCAACCTGCACCAGAGCAGTGGAGTGCTCTGTCACCATACCAGGGGGAGCCACTTGCACTGCCAATAAATGTGTTTGCAGTTCTGGAACAGTAGCATATGATCAGTCACTCTGTATGACCCGTGAGTCATCCACTATAGTTCACTTTTCCCGCCCAAAAAAAGGCTGAATGAATTGGTGATGGTTTGTCCAGCTTTGGCCATAAATGCTGCCTGCTCAGACACCCAACAATGTGCAGTGAGTATTTCCAGATCAGTTTGCACTTCAGGGACTTGTCAGTGCCAATCACCTGACAATTATTTGGCTGCAACCAACCAATGTGTACCCCGTGAGTGAAAAATACTTCATATCAACTTTCATTTATTCAATTATTTTTATGATATATTTTTTAAAGATGCATCCTTATAAGCAACCTGTTATAATTGATGGACCAGAATTAATAAACTTATGAGTCTCTTTCTCCTGGAATAACCTTTTTTTCAGTGGTACAAGATTTTCAGACAACGGGTGATATTTATAATTTTTCATTGAGCTATAACGAAATTAATTATAAGCGCACCGCGAGACGAGAAGCGATAATTGCTGCTCAGTGTTACGCGACATCTAGTTTGAAGAGAATAGAATTCTAATTTTCTGACTCCGGAGATGTCGTATGATTCCCACCAGCATTTTTTATACGGAAAGAACGTCTAGTTTTTTGAGAAAGACGTTCATAAATCCTCGAGAATGCTCCGAACGTTTCGCCTCTTCTTTAAGGAACCAGTTTTTCAGCCCCTCTTACAATCGAAATTAGCTTTCATTCTTCTGGGGTTTGTGGTGCCTCAGTAAAGATGTCACTGTTCTCGTGACTTCCTAATTGAGTCTGAATTCTTCGGATATATAGTGCTGTGTGATTAATTTATTCCGCATTAATTTGCAATCATCAAAAGAGAAAACGAGGAATACTTTTTCAATTTTGGCTGTCCATGATGGGCATGGAAATCTTGAGGAAAACTGATCTTGAAAGCTCATTCGTTCTTCAGAAATCTATGCTTATACAACAGTACAGTAAACATGAAATAAAAACCACAAGAATATGAAAACATTCTCTAAAATGTATATTTACAGACAATTGAATTTTTGCTGTGCTTGATGGGCATGGAAATATTGAGAAAAACTAATCAAAGCTGACTTATGTTCTTCAGCATCTATACCTGTAGTGCAGAAACAGCATGAAATAAAAGCAATAAGAATATGACAACTTCTCCAAAATGTATATTTACAGCCAAAGTATTCAACTCCTCATGCTCCATAACTGATGAGTGTGCTCTTACAATGACCTCCTCTGCATGCACTGGAGGAAAGTGTGTCTGTGCATCAGGAACCCTCATGTACAGCACAACCACTTGCATGACAGGTCAGTACAGTATATGCATAACTACTGTATAGACATACAGTAAATGAGATAGCATATTTATATGAATGTGGCAAAAGGGACTTTAATACTGACTTTTAAATATATTCCTATATAGCAAAGGCCATCAATGATACCTGCAATGACAACCTTGAGTGCAGTATCAGTATCTCAAACTCTGTCTGCTCTGGAGGAATTTGTACTTGTGCTGCTCCCAACAATTACTTGGCCTCTCCTCCATCCTGCATTGCACGTAAGAAGAATCAACAATTGTAATTGCAAACTTGGATAAATCAAGTGCCCACATTTGTCTGCAGCTAAATCACTTGGAAGCTCATGCACACTAACAGGACAGTGCCTCCTGACAGTTGCCAACAGTGTGTGCAATGGAGCAACATGTGTTTGTGGAGCTGGTTTCAACACCTACAACTCAACCACTTGCTTGGCAGGTCTGATGAAAACCATGAGCATATATAGTAGTTTTTTTTCCAGCACAATAGTGATATGACAATATAAGCTATATTTATGGAAACAGTTGTGGCCATTGGAGGAACATGTCTAACAACTGAGCAGTGCCAACTCAGTTTGGGGACATACTCTGACTGTATAGCAGGGACTTGCCAGTGTGTTTCTCCTGGGTCACCTTCTGGAAGTTCTTGTGAGTTGGCTTGAAGCTTTGTTTCTGTGAGAAACAATTGTGGTATGATTGAAATCCTGACACCCTTTCTGCAGGTGCTCTTACAACAACTACCACCACCACAACCACTGCTCCTACTACTACAACTACCACACCCACCACTACAGCGGCAACTACCACTGCAACCACAACTGTTGCACCTCCTACCACAGATACAACAACCCTAACCACAGCAACAGACACAACTGCAGCTGCTACAACCACAGCAAGTATAACAGAAACAACAACTGCTGACACAACAACCACAGCAGCTACAACAGAAACAATAACCACTGACACAGTAACTACAGCAGCATCTGCTACCACAGTGTGAGGTGCAAGGAAAAACATTTTTTTAAATATCCAACAGTTCTGTTTGATGCAAGGTCACCAAACCCTCTCCCCGGTTTTGAAGTAGAATTCCAGAAATAGTTATACTGTAACAAACATGTCTCAATCACACTGTTTGTTTTAATTTTTTCAGCTATAAGCTTTGAGAACAGGTGTACATAGAAAAGCATTTTCCAAAGCAGAAATAAGTTCTGGATATTTCCCCATCTTCAGCAGAATTAATGTCCTTTCATTCTAAGTGCCATTTGAAAAATATTTCAATGAATCAAGTACCTTGAAGAAGAGTAGTAAAGCCTTTATAAACAGTTATGTTAGCATTAATTTTAAAAGCATTTTTAAGTTTAAAATGTTTGTGCATGGCATTCAATGTCCATCATTAGGACATCAGGGTTAGAACAATTAGGATGATGACACATTGTGTGAGGAATGAATAAACCATTAGACTGGAGCAAGTACATTGTTTTATAGTACATTTCCTTCAATTTCCAACTTTTTCATAAAATAAATGGCACACTGTTCATTAAAGCAGTGTCAATGCAGGAAAAAGCTGACAGACGCGCACCCTACCACCAGTTAAGCGCAAAATTAAAACTTGGAGTTGGCCTACTCAGACAGTAAGGCACAGGGACTTTTTTTTAGAGGGGTATTGGCTAAGACAATCTCACACCAGTTGGGGACTTTGATTCATCCAAAACAAACAAACAAGCAAAAAAGTTGATTCAAGTGGTCTCCTCAACATCAGGTTCAGGTTCAGCTTCAGGAGACTTTGACTTGGCTCTTTTGGGAGTAGAAATGGCAGCATCAAGTTTGGCCTGGATATTGGCAAATGAATCAGTTCCCATGTAGTCCATTTGGCCCTTTTCCCAAGCTGCATAACGTTCTTGCTCAGTCTTCACATCTGCAGAAGCTTCATCAGAGCAGACTTCAGAACTTGACTGCAAATTCAACCTCCCCAGGGCATGTGTAAGGTCAGCCTGCACACATTCAAAAATATAATATATAAAAATCACTTGATGTCATTAAAAATATGGAAATTTTCCTTCACCTCTTTATATACATCATGATCACTTTGCTGCTATAAAAAAAGAGGCAGCACAAAAGGAAACAAACACCCATCAAAGGAACATTATGACACTAGAAGAAGTTTAGAAAAAAGTGCTCACATGTTCACCAGCTGACATTCTGGGCAGGACATCAGATGCAAAGATGTCCCACCATGTCTGCAGGAACCCTTGTGAAAAGCTTTCCACAGCATCTTTTACTGTCACTTGTCCAGCAACTGGATCAAAGTTGTGCATCCAAGGTTTTGTTGACCCCAAGAAATGCACAATTTTCACATCTTTTGCAAACCTTGAAATTCAAAGCACAGTCAAAATTTGCAGTTCAACATGTGGAAAATTAATCAAGTCTCAACTGTTTCACTGCTGGTAAGTAGGAGTAAGCTGCAGTTGACACCATGTTATATACAAAAGGAAGATGATTCTTGATGTCTTTTCTTGCCCATTCATGGAAGAACAAGTTCAGAAGCCCTTGATCACCCCCTGAAAGAAAATTTAACTTGATAAGTTACAATACTGTACATGCTTACCTTCAAAAAGCTTAAATATGCTCACCATCAAAACTACCATAAGAGAGGGCAAAGTTGAGCAAATCTTGATAAGTCTGCTCATTGGGACAAAACACAAACACTCCAGAGTTGAAGCAGTCAGGCCAACCACAATCTGGTGCAGCTGACAGCTCTTCATGTTCAAATAGCTCATCACAATTTTGCATCACCTATAATCAGAGACATGAATAGGTTATTCATGACCAACATATGGGGGACATATAGTTTTTTTTATCATTACCAAAGTATCAGCATCCAAGAAGACACACTTGTTGTAGTTCCCCAGTCTCCAGCAGTGCAATTTGGTGAATGTGACTCCAAGCTCTGGGCGCTGAATCAGTGCTAAATTGGCCTCATCTCTGCTGTCCAAAACATCCACTTCTTTCACTTCATTGTAAACTTCTGCCAAAACTTCCCTGAGAATTACAAGGTATTGAACAAGTGCTATCAACATCTCTTCAAAACAGACCCCTCATTGGACAACTGGTTTGAAAAACCATTTTATTCTCAATAATGAAAAGTTTTCTTGAAAAGAAAGAAGTTCTGTGAAGTAATAAGTGATGAAAAAACTATAATAAAGACACAATGCTTATGGGTTCATTAAAAATTTTGCTGTTCCTTCTTTGGATCATGTTTATATGTTATCCTTATGTTATGTTTATGTGATCCTTATGTTATGTTTCTGTTATCCTTATGTTATGTTTATGTTATCCTTATGTTATGTTTATGTTATTATGTTTAAAAAACTATAATAAAGACACAATGCTTACTTATGGGTTCATTAAAAATGTTGCTGTTCCTTCTTTGGATCATGTTTATGTTATCCAAAAGAAAACAGCTAAATTTTCTTAAATACAAAACAGACTTTTTTCTTTGTCATGCACATGAAAATTTTCATCATGTAGTGATAAGTTTAGGTTTCTTGAACTTTTCACTCAATTAAATAAAGAGAATCAAATTATCTCCATTTAAATGGCCTGATGATTTTGTTCCAAGTGTTTTTTTGTGTAGTCCTAATTTTGACACAATAAATGTATGTTCCCAACAGCTGACAAAGCATTCCAAAGCAAGATTACAATTTATAGGCCTGAAATTATGAAGATAAAAATCCCCTCAGTTAGCGAATGACAGAAAGTTGGACAAAAGGGGAAAATTTCTGAAGTACAGCTAATACAGTATAGTATAATAAAGAAAGGTGAGGTTCCACAAATCACTTGATTCCAGGAACACCTTGGGAATGATCATGAACTCAGAAAGATATGTACATGATTTGCATAATCATGAAAGAATAATTCATCCCAATTATACTTGCAAGTGTACTTCTCAAATTTGCCAAATAGCATATCCTATTTGGCAATCAATTCCAACGGAATATATAAGATTGAAGCCAATTCTGATGCAATATTAGAGAGGATGAAGCAGGAGTTCCCGAAATAACCTGATTGGGGACACCTGCTGAAGAGCAACAATGACACTTTTACACCTAAATGCAATTAAAATTGTCCATCTAATTCAGTTTCACTTCCATGGGAAATACATAACACCGTTCATCATACTGTATCAGCAAACTATATTTGCATATGAGAAGCTGAGGAAAGATTCTGAAGCTTCAGTAAGTTTCCAGGCATCAACCAAATGGAGATTTATTTGTTTCCATCAAAATAATCATAAAAATATTATTTACCATAGCTTTCCAATTTGTCAACCATTGCATCAAAAGCTCCAAGCAATGGAAAATTAAAACTGAAACCAATTCTGAAGTACTGAATTAATTAGGAAGGATGAATCAGAGGAGTTTCAGAAATCACCTGATGCCAGGCGACACCTGTGGAGCAACCATAACAACTAGTGCTCTGCTGGTCCTTGCCCTGGACAAGGAATGCGCCAATACCAGGGCTCCAAGGGCATAGGTGTCATTCGTCGCCAATGTCACCCAGGCTTGATCAGAAACTGCAAAAAAAAAAAATCAAAAACAAAAAGAGAAATAAAGAAGGCAGAAACAAATGCAAGATGTACACACAAGCACCTGCCATTCCTGGCAAGCTGCCAAACTTTCCTGGAATGCTTCCAGAAAACAGCTCATCACTCAAACAAAAACAGTTTCTCTCCAGATCACATGCACTGAAAACTTCTTTCTATATAACCCCCAACACAAGGTGTTTGAATACAAAAAAGTACTAGAAATTTGAACCTCATCAACTCAAGTCTATGTTTACACATGAAATGTTTGGAGCCCCACAAAAGACTGAGTCACAAAAAAGAGACACCCTTACCTGTGGGAACTGATGGCATTTTGGTTTCCCCTGTATCCAAAAAGTTCACAAAAAATCCACCGCGAAGCACATATAATTAAACACAAATTATTACCTCTACAGAGAAAAAATAAAAATGAAAGAAACCCTTCTGGAAACCAGAAACCCCTCAGAAGAACTCAGCCTTCACCCTCTCATCAGCCTTGCTCCAGAAATAACTCCCCAGAGGCCATTTGGAATGAGGGAACCCATAGCATATGTGCCACTGGTTTGATCGATGAGAGAGAAGATATGATCCAAGTCCATAAATCACTATATGATGTTGGGGACTTTTTTTCAATGTTGACTAATTCAAGGTTTATATTTATGGTATGCCAGTAATCTTTGTTTGATGCTTTTCAATCAAATGCCAGACATATCCTCCTCTTCTGAGAACCTTAGACAGTGTTTCCTGGATCATGCATAAGGGTTTGCTCATAAGTTCTGCTTCTGACCTTGTGTTTCCATTGTTAAACACAGAGAAGAAATAGATTACCTGCAACATTTTTCATATTCCAAGAAAAAATATACACTGCATAAAATTCAAACAGGTAATTCAAAAAGTTCAAAACTTTCTTGGTGAAATTCTTTTAATCTTTCAAGTAATGCTTTTGTCTGGAGGAAGTGTGAAGGTGGTCAGCAATTTCATTTTGTTATACACTGCATAAAATTCAAACAGGTAATTCAAAAAGTTCAAAACTTTCTTGGTGAAATTCTTTTAATCTTTCAAGTAATGCTTTTGTCTGGAGGAAGTGTGAAGGTGGTCAGCAATTTCATTTTGTAGCAAAGAAGCTCAGGGCTGAAGTTAGCAGATGAACAAAAAGTTGCACAAACATTTTACAGTACCGACATTCATCCCAGCAGTGTGGATTGCTGAAAGACGGACTAAGAATATTGGATAGTCAGAATTGTTATTTCAAGATCCTGCCAAGAGCTTTGAACCACCCTGATCTAAAGTGAAGTTGAGTAAATTAATCAGACCATTTCAGGACTAATTGGATTAATATTTCAGCAGCATATACTGCACTAAATATTCCAAAACAGAATGTTGAGCATAAACGTGATATTAATCCTCTGTATATGGTAATTCTTCATGAATGCTACTGTGTATGGCAATAATTGAGCTTAAAGCATTCAACATGAAGAATTTCAGTAAGGTCAAACAAAGTTGCACTTGGAGTAATAAGATCTCTCAGGAAAAATTTGTCACACAAAATACAAACCCCAGGCTTTTACACTTTGAAGTTCTTCTACGGGGTCTTAAAAGTGGATAGATATTCAACATTCAATACACTGTTGACAAATTTTTTAAACTCTGATCTCAGAACAGCCAAAAATTCCCAAAACTGCCTAGCACTCTGAGAGTGTGATTGTGATTTTCTGAATATAGAATCCCTTCAGACCAGTACTTGAGGTGACTAGGAAGAAATCAGCAATACCAATTATAATCCCAAAAAAATGGCACCATAGTGGTACATAAGACATC